AGTGCCATGAATACAGTGAGCTAGTATATACTATGAACTCGAGGTGGTTAAAGGTGGGAAGTAGACACGAAGCGCAAGCGGCAAGAAAGTGTGCGTGTGCCTCCTCTCGTTCAGTCCTTAGAATGTCCTCTGGATGGCGGTGCTTCTATATGAGGAATATATGATGAAAAGATGCGAGATGGTAATAATTGGAGTGTTGAATACGTGGACGAACGGACACACAGACAGATGCATGGACGGACGCACGGATGGCTGCAAGGACGGATGGACGGACGCAGGAGCGGATGCATGAACGAAAGCAGGGACGGACCCATAGATGAACGTGCGGCCGCACGAACAGACGCACCTGCGGACGGGCGGATGGACGCACAGGCGGCCACACAGACGCACGCATGGATGGACGGAAGCAAGAGCAAATGGACGGACGGATGCTTCACCCCACTATCCATCATTCACTCCGTGGATATGCTGCTATTTTTTCGCGCTTGCGATATTCTAGAATGGTGCTTGAGGAATCAACCGCATTAAGGCACCACACAGAAGCTTTACTCGCATTTCTCAGTGGTCGTGCCGCTGATAGTTGTTCATCGCTAAACATATCATGCGCCCTACGTTTTCACGATGTTTCCAGGGGCCTTGCTGACGAACATCATCTAGTGCGTGTAGTTGGTTTGGTCCAAATAGCAGAGAAGCTGTCTTCGCTTAAGCAGCAGAATGGTGTCTGTTTATTACAGGCGCTTTTTTTTTTTAACTGTGCATTGTTCAGTTGCTTTTTATGAGTTTAGAAATTGTCACTTTCCCAGACTGCCAAAAGATGGCACCGCTGACCGGGGGCGTAGGCAGAATATATTTGTCGGGGACGGGCGAGAATGTGTGGAGTGTTATGACTGGCCGAGCAAGGACATAGCCATGCAAGAGACGGTCATCGGTGAGCCCTGCTAACGTGGTCCACGTCCTGCAGCAACGTGAGAGGCGTACGTGTGTGCCACATCAAACGCGCATCAACGTCGGACAAGAAGCGCATGCTCGGACCGGACGATGTGATAGATAGATAGATAGATAGATAGATAGACATAGATAGATATAGATAGATAAATAGATAGATATGCTCGTTGGGGAAGAAGTTTGAATGAATTTGAAATTGAATGAAGGAGGAAATAAACAGAGAGGAAGAACGCAGGGAGGTTAAGCAGAAAGATTTCCAGTTTGCTAGGCTACACTGGGAGATCAAAATTAAGGTGGCTTAGTCACCTTATGGTTTCGGCACCAACTCTCTGCGACGTTACAGATGCTGATAGCATGCATTGCAACCTGTGAGAAAAGTATTTCAAAAGAAGTTACTGCTGTAATAACGAACTGTAAACTCTCATTTATTACTGACATTCGATTTTGGTGTGAATAACCGCAATGCCACTTAGGTGTACCGAAATGGTATATCAAGTCAGTGCCACACGACACCCGTTCGCTTTTTCTTTTTCTTTAAGCAGGCACATTCAGCAACGCTGTCTTCGGCAATGCACGTTGCACTGCCAAAGACACCGCAACGTTGCAAGTTTCCATCGGCAGCGCACATTGCGCCACGTCGCTGCAAGCGAAACGAAGACGTGCCAGCAGCAAACATCGCATCTCGTCAACGCCCAGCCGGAAAGCCAAGCATGATAATCAAGAAGGTTTCACAGCGCCGCCCCACATATATTGGTAAAACTTATAAAAAAAAATGTTTCTGCCAACAGCGGCCGTGAGGCACTGTATGGGGAGCTCTTTTCGCCATGACTGCAAAGCACATGCGAAGGCTAGGCGATGGGCGAGAGCAGGAAAGAGCTAGAGGAGAGGGTAGTGAACAGCTGAATCGGGTGCATATGGCTGGCGTTGATAAAATAGAGGAGGCGTTGTCGTAATATTAAGACATGCTGCTATCACATTAACTGCTTCGCCCATTTGGGGCATCAAAACTAAGACAAGTTTGTATGCCCACCAACTCTCGAATCTTGAGAGATGCCGAATTTTGAGAGATGCCGTAATGAGGGGCTCTGGAAATTTCAACCATCTGGTGTTTAACATGCACCGATATTCATCGAACGGGAACTGCTGCAGCCAGGATTGAACTTGGGAGCTTTGCATGCAAGCTAGCAAAGCAAATTTAAATACTGTAAAAATCTTGAATACTCCAAGCATTCAAATGTTCACCTAAACCACTACAGCATCGGCTTTGCCTGCTTGTAAGTTATGCTGTAGAAAGTTTCCACAGCTTGAACATAACTTATTTCAATTCTGAAACCTAGAAACTGAGTGGGGCTTCTTTTTCAGACTTGTGATAATGAACAACGACAAAAAAAGCTAGGACAGCTCCAAAAGGTGTAACATTATTCACTGCAAATATAATGAAGCTGAATAGCAGCTCTCAAACAAGGGCTTCTTGAGTGCTACCACAATACTTTCTGCATTTTTCTCATGAGTGAATCGCCAGCCTGCACCGCAGATGCAGTAGGGAAAAAGGGCATGCTCATCCCTCCAATGGAAAGGCCTATTTTGCCAAACCACCACAAACGTCACTGCTCGGTATTCCATGTCATGTCCCCAAGACATCATGCTCGTTCATGTCAACACTTCAGAGGTTATCTACCAGTTGGTGTAAATTTTAAGAAATCACGTGCTCATTAAAAGCTACATTCACTCCGTTAGTTCAAAATCGTGCTTAATTCGAAGTATTTACACGGTCCCGTATTATGCAATGCAAGTTTGAACGGGTAATTTAAAGCGGCGGCCGGCACAAGTCCAGTTAATTCGAAAACTTTTTCAAAAACTTTGGGTGCAGTGTGCCTATTCCCGATCCAGATTTCGACATGAACCTACGAAAACGACTGCCCTTAAGAGCAACAAGGCAATGTATTTTAGTTACACTAATGAGTGGTAGCTGAAGCACCACTGGCTCGCTATTTCCAACACTAAAAATAAAATTATATATATCTAAAAACACATCTTTTGATTATCTGAAATATGCACCTGTAAAAAACACGTGCTACACTGCAATACAGCAGTGACGTGCGGGCAGCATATCGCAACGTCGGCGCGTCAGTTTATTCCTTCTCTCTAGGAATTTGAAGGAACTAATAAAGGACAGTCTGGAGAAATCCACGATGTGCGCGAACCTCCAAGTGCCAGTTGCTCCAGCACAGCTGGTGGAGTTCTCGCCTGCAATGCCTACTTGGGAAAATGGGAAAACTGGTCGAAAGCTTCAATGATGATCTTTTCGAGCCAAAACGCATCTCGAATTTCATCACGCTGTTCATTATTGAATTGTTTATTTTACGAGAAAAAATGGGCGAATGGCCACATCATGACGCGCTGACACAGTGAGGAGCAGGCAACATGCTTCCAACGTGTCACTACTGCATTGCAGTGAATGAAGATGTCTTGTTTTTCGCAAATGCACAATTCAGTCTTTTTTTTTTTGTGCAGTGACAGCAGTTACGCCCGGAATTCCCCCTTGTTTGCGGCAAAACTGTGATCAAGTATTGCTGGAAAACATAACCCTTGGGGCCACAAAACAGCCGGCACAGCAAATGACCAGCCCTGAATAATTTGAATAATTTCAGATTCCTTGCATTCTACCTTTACAGCAAAAGCCATTACGAGATGAAAATTTGGGTCATGCGCGGAGCCTTAGTTGTCCACCGCCGCCGGTGTGCCTAACCACTATTGCAGAAATAAGAAAAAATGACCTAGTACAAAGGACACAGTGGGGCTCGAACTCGTGTCCAGTATTCTACCACTAAGCCCCGCTAGTGCTAGGGACTTGTTTGCAAACTTGCCTTGGGCAGGCTTGATATTGGGAAAGAAAATGCAATAACATGAGAAATAAAGCATTTTAAAACAGCAAAACAACCAGTCGTCACACAATGCGAATAGCGTGACAAGTGGGTCGTCTAATGCTCCAACCCCTTACAAAAACTTGTTTTTGATCACTTATTAACTGTGGCACAAACCCACTTCAGGCTTCATTCCTCATCGATGTCATTCACTGCATGAACAATTGGCAAAAAATTCCTTGGAAGTGTTCAGCGGATACCACGCTTCTTAGAAGAATGACGAAAGATAGCATAGGGAATGCCTGCCTACTACCCAGAAATTATTATTAATGCCATAGTGGGTACCCAGCAAGCGTGCTTGCAGCAGTTACCCAATGAATGTTTAGAAAAGGCTCTAAAAGGCCGCTCTGCTAGCTTTCGCTGTGACTGTGCTGGGCTCTCCGCACAGGCCTGGCATTTTTTTTTTGTACAATCTGTTAATTCGAAAGCCCGCTTAATTCGCAGATTTTTACTGTCCCGGAGACTTCAAATTAACAAGGTTTTACTTTATGTAGTCTATTGCTCGGAACACAGTACTGCACATGCAAATCATGACTAGAATCCCTAGTAAGTGCTCTTACACATATAGTAGACATAACGCAATGATTTCACTGTCTACACTCCTTCTAGTGTTCTTTTACATCTTCCAGTGAGTGCACGCAGAAAATGCCTAATGAAAAAAATATGCCCCCCTTCCCCGAAGGGAATTGCGAGGAAATGTGACGGCAATTGCGCAGCGTCCGTAGCGGCATTTCACAGGTGAAAACCCAGTGCTAGAAGAATATTTTTTTGGGGGGTCTTCCACCGTGCTGCCACGCGTGGCATTTTTCTGTCACGAGAAACACGGCATGGATTTCCAGCGCTAGTAGCTAGGTTAAAAATGCACGGTTAACAAAAAATGCACGGTTAAAAAATACTATGAAGTGAACAAAACAAACAGTGTTCTCGGCTTGGCCTTCGGGTTTCACAGTGCGAACGATGAGAGAAGGAACAGCAAAGCACTGCACCTACCCTCTCGCAACACATGCTCCGGTTGCTAGGGGCGAGGATAAGCACGCGCGCCTGCAGATGTTGCTATCGGAGAGGGCAGTGGACGGATCCTAACGGTCGCCTGACATAGCTTGACTAAGAAAGGCATCATCATTTCAAAAAAAAAAAAGAAAAAAAAGAGGCCACAACTTTATTATCTCCTGTGCCAGTTACAACCAGTGTAATCTGCATACTAACAACCTGGCTATTTATGACAGCTCGCCAATGCCAATGGATGCACGTATAATGCAGGTGGGAGAATAATAGTAATGCTTTCTGGGTTGAGAGGGAGGAACTACAGTCTTTGGGTGCACCAACTGAGTGACCACCGCGATGAAGACTGCTATCGTAAATGCCCACAGCACCCCATGGAGGCCGCTTCACATGCTGGTCTCGTGGCGTGGTCGCTGCTTGGACTTGGCCCTCCGCTTAGGCCGATGCTGTGGCTGCTGGGAACTGCAAGAGATAGCACCCATTAGGAGTATGCCCATGAGAAAGGTCCCATAACACAAAGCCCATAAGAAAGGTCAAGCACTGAGCGGGTTTCTTGATTACACTGCAGTAACGTAACAGCTGAACAAATACTAGCACTTACTTAGCAAGACACCTGACAATTGGTGCAAACAGAACCTATAGTGCTAACAACTTTTTTTGAATATATCATGCTGACCAACAAAAGATTCATATTTGTGGTAACCACACTACTCACTGTAGCAGAGATCACCACAGCTTAGCGAGGGTCGCATATACCGTTGCCTGCTCACGTATGGCGCACTACTCCGATCGTGCTCAACTAGCAAAGCGTTATTGATCGACCCATGGCAAAACAGACAGTGTACAATTTCTCATCCCTGGACACAGACAGCAAAGGGCCCCACATGCGGATGTATACCAAACCGTGAGCATGTCACAGCTGGCATTGGAAAGCTTTTCACACACCACTCGGGAAAAGGTTCCTCAAGACTATGCTGCACACTCCCGCAATGACCACTGGACCTGGTCGCCAGAAAAAGGGCACATCTTGTACGTGCAGGCCTCCTATAACACTGCACCAGCAGTTCTACCTAGCCCGGCCCGAAAACGCCATGCTCCAGCCCGCCCGAGCCCGGTCCAACCCAATGTATTTCAATATAGTCCGTACGTGCCCCAGGCTTCAAATGTTTGGGCTCGGTCCGGCCCATTTCAGCCAACTATGCCCTGAGCATAAATGAGGCACTTATGTCTGATCTTCGGTTATTGTGAAGATACCTGCCGCACACAATATCATTTTTAGAGTGTTTTGAGAATTTTTTTTTAGTGGCATGATTTTCTCTGTTACTGTGTATTCTTTCGGTTAATTACAAAAGTAACACTTTTACAAAATCATTTCAGGGTAATATAAATTACAAGTGAAGTCGTAGCTAGCTGTCTCATCAGTGATGGAAGTGACTTTTTACTTTTTGGAGCATACATTGGAGCAAGAAAAGTAGTTTTGGAGCAGCCATAAGTGTTTTTGAAGTGGAAAAAAAATTTTAGTTTGGAGCAGGTATTGGTGGAGGAGCAAATACAAAACTTTTCATACACCAATTGGATTTCGAAGCATCATCAAAGCACCTCACAAATATTATTATTATTTATTTTATTATGAAGTGTATTTCGTGGACAGCAATGAATGTAAACTTCGAGAAGTAATTAAAAAAGATAGCTAGTTGTCAAAAATGGGCTGTGAAATGAGCTATATATTTAAGATACCAGTATTTACGGTAGAAATGAAATCAAAGTGGAACAGCTGAGAACCCCTTTTTTGAAGTAACCACAGCCCCATATAACTGCTGCCAAACAAGTAGTATACATAATCGATAGGAAATAAAAGCCATCCTGCTTATTTTCACACTTTACCACACTAAGTGCACGTCTAGCTGAAAGAAAAAAATTGTTAATTAATCTATAAGATTCACACGCCAGTTTCTGTCGCATAGATGACATCAGGGCCAATAATGCTGTACACTGGTAACATACTGGGATGCTGATATACAGTTGTTTTTCAGTTTCTTTAGGACTTATGAGCTGGTCAAACAGTAAAAGTTCATCATTCTCATATTGTCAGTGCCATTTTGGAGCAGTTTTTGGAGCAGTTACTAACAAATATTGCATTTTGGAGCAGAATGGAGCAGCATTTTTCTTTTATTTATTTATTTAGGTACCCTCAGGGCCAGAGGCATTAGAGAGGGGAGTGGGTTACAATAGTTACAAACATAATATAAAACAGAGCATAAAAAAAGGTATAAACACAACAAAACCAGGAAAATGCAATGTACCTCAGTGTTACACGTTATACAATGTTAGCTAAAGCAGTTTTAAAAAGTTAGTGGTCCGAGATCGTTGCCGTCAGTGCGGGTAGGTGGTTCCATTCCTGTGATGTACGCGGTATGAATGACTGGGAAAAGGAGTTAGTTCTGCAGGACGGCAAGCCGACTTTACGGACATGATTTATGCGAGCTGAAATGTACCGAGGAGGCAGAATTAGTTCGTTTCGTAGCTGGCTGTGATAGAAAAGCTTATGGAAAAGACAAAGGCGAAGAATTTTCCTACGAGATGATAAGGAAGGTAATCCGAGGCTGGATTTCATAGTGCTTATGCTGGCAGTCCGGTTGTAGTTAGAAAATATAAAACGAACAGAGTTATTTTGAACCATTTCAAGTGAGTGTATTAGATTTTCTTGGTTAGGATCCCAAACTGATGCAGCCTACTCCAGTTTGGAGCGGATAAGCGTCTTGTAGAGAGTTAGTTTTAGTGTTGAAGGAGCCTGTGAGAAATTTCGACGTACGTAGCCGAGCATGCGATTAGCGTTATTAATTACGTACGTGGTATGCACGGACCAAGTGAGGTCGGTAGTAATATGTATTCCGAGATATTTGTAAGTGCTGACAGATTCCAGAGGAGCATCGTTCAGATGGGAAGTGGGCAATATACGGTTAGTTCTAGATACGCGAAGGAACTTGCATTTGTTAGTGTTGAGTTCCATTACCCATGTTTTACACCACACAGAAATAGCGTTAAGATCGGATTGAAGGGTTAATAGGTCATTGTCATTAGATATTTCGCGAAAGTGGACGCAGTCATCGGCAAACAAGTGAATGTGAGAAGTAACAGATAAAGGTAAGTCGTTAATGTAAATAAGAAAGAGGAGGGGAGCCAGGACAGATCCTTGAGGGACTCCAGAAGAGAGGTTAGTTCGGGGTGAGACAATATCGTTAGCTAAAACAAACTGAGCGCGGTTAGAAAGGAAACAAGGAAAGCCAAAATAAAAGTTTCCGATCAAGATAAAGATTTTGTAGTTTGTGAAGTAACAACTTGTGACATACTTTATCGAAAGCTTTAGAAAAGTCTAAAAAAATGCAATCAGCGATAAATGAATGATCAAGAATGATGTTTAATCCATGGGTGAAAGATGCAAGTTGAGTCTCACATGAATAGTTTTTTCTGAAACCGTGTTGGGTACGTGTTGGATACAGTTTGGAGCAATTGGGTCAGCACTTCCATCACTGCCTCATGTACGCAGTAGTAAACATGCAGTATTCTTGCACTTCGAAGAACACCCCTATAAAGTAGTAAAAAAAGGCAGACATTTCTAGTTTGAGTTTACATGAACTGCATACGAGCTGGGGCTCTTGAGTGAAAGTACCAAGTCCCTTGCAAATGCCTTCTTGCACAATGCAATAATAAAAAAAAAACTCACTTTAGCTGCTTTCGGGAGCTAACTGCACCAGGCTGCTCATTTACAAAGGCGAGCAGATAAACCCACCCACAGTGCACTGCAGCAGACCCTGCCACGGAGCTCTTGGAGGCTGCGTGCTCATTGGTTTGTACATGATTTCATCAACAAACATGGTGGCGCCTATGACGATGCTACAGACAGCTGCCAAGCATGAATACATACTGTATTTACTCGCATAATAAACCCATTTTTTTTCTCGAAAAATCAGAGGAAAGATGGGGGTGCGTTTATTATGTGGGGCAAATTTTATTAAAACTTTTTCGGGATAAGCAAAAAATGTGGTAATGCAAAAAAAAGTTAGGTGACTTAGTCTTTCGCAATTGGCATATGCGTACACTGTTTAGAAACAGCTTGTTTGTTGCGCTTTACTCATCTTTTTCCATCCTTGATGGCGCTATCTTCTGCAAGCTGTCCCCGCATCGGCCGCGCACACCATAAAAATGTTTTAACGGCTATTTTTTGTCGCAATCATTTAATCACAACAGTGGTACCTGCTCTGATCTCTAGGGGCTCCCAGAAGCATGCGCTATGATTCTGTTGACATTATAGCAAATAATCAGCTTTGCAGCAAGCTACCCCCTTGTGAAGCATCAAAGCAAAGCGTCGATAACCAGATTAACAAAAAGATACAGCCGCCGCCTTGTTTACACATGAGAAGTTCCTGTATGCACGGAGAACAAGCAAAGCGAGAATTGGGGGTGCTACGATGTTGCGAAAATCGTCGAGACCTTTTTTGGTTTTCCAGAAACCTGCGATGCGACAACGAAAAATGACCTTTTGCGACAGCGAATCCTGACGTCGTCGCTCAAAAATTGCATGCACCTCGTTGGGCCTTAAAGTTCCGTATTTTCAGGAAGCGACTGTCGGTTGGCGCAGGCGATTTCGTGATGTTGGCTCGCTGTGTGCTTCTCAGCTGCAACGTCTCTGCACTCGCATCGTTAGCGAGCCGCGCTGTAGCACACAGATAAAGAAGACTGGAGACGTGCTGCGCAGAGATAGAAGAAAGTTGTCAAATAATAGGGGCCCCATAGTCTTTTGCGTACGGAGGCTCCGGGTCAAGCAGGAGTGGTGAGTTTTCGAATAGAGTCTGCGGCGCTTCGGACACTCCTCCCCCTATTCTATGTCACTCAAGTCCTGACCGAGAGCCGTCACTTCAGTGGGTGCAGTCACGTTCGTCTGACCCAAAACTTTTGGAGCAGACTTTGGTGCTCCCACTGAATTTAGGAAATAGCGTCCCCAACCCAAAACTAAAATGCAGTTCGGGTTTTGCGCATGCATAGTTGCCTTAAGGGGGGACGCGGCCTTTGAAAACCGAAAAATCGCGAAAAAGTCAATTTTGGCAAAACCACATATTCGGGCAGTATGTATCAAACTACCTTTTCTGTAAATATCAACGTCTAATTCGTCGCGAAACCATTTGAAATAAAGTTTAGAACATGCCGCAGCGGCCCTCGAGCAGCGCGCGAGCGCTCAATATACCCCAACTTGGCGTGATCGCAGTTTCTCGACCGCTCGACGGAGCGCCGCCATTTTGGTGTTGTTTTGTTTGTGAATTCTTGCTCTTTCTTTCCCCGCCACCTGCGTCGCCGGCGGCAGCGCAGGAGAGGAGCAAGCCGCTCATGATTGGAGGGCTCGCGAGAGCTTTCAAGTTTCCCGCGGCTGAGGCGCGCAGCTGGGATTGGGCGAAGCGCGCGCTCCC